ACCAACACTAACACTCGAAATAGAAGTAAACTTAACAGTTATTATAATAGCCAGCGTTTGGCCGTGGACATGGCAAATTCCCAGACGTTTCGCTGGGATCGTGGTCGGTGTCGTCAGTACTATTCTCTAGGTCGCAACATTTTGGTATTCATAGCCACATTTAAAATTGTAGAGAGCTTGGCATACCAGTCAAAATTGGTCCACATTATTGAGTTAAAACTTGGAATTTTCTGTACAAACATTTTTATCCTTTTGGATGGAGGTTGAAAATATCCTCCACTCCCGTTGGTAAAGCTTTTTCTGATGCTGGGCTAAAAGATATTCAACGAGATGTGCAAACTTCCTCGTCAAGCCAACTACTAAAGTTGTAAGTAACTTGTGTTTCCAGTACGACTCCAAGCAATATGTCATGCACTTTGTCTTCTGGTATTGTCTGTTTGTGTTCCTCCATCTTTGAAATCTCCATCGAATGCATTCCCCGACCTTATGTCCGCATCGAACTCGTTATTGTTAGTGAACATCACTGTCCAATTCATTAAATGTTATTTTAAATACTCTCCGATATTGCCCAAAACTACACATGACTCTCCGAGGCAATGCTTCCAATATAAATGTAGGCAAATATAATCAGTGTCGTTTCCACTTCAAATGCATCGGTAAATAGAGTCAAGAATTTCACTCACTCACACACACACAAACACACACACACGTTGAACAAGAATATTGAATTTGAAAGTGAATGTGAACAAATCTGCCCCAAATGTGGCTTCATTGAGGACTCCGCAAGAGATCATCAACTGTCTACAGGGACTGCCAGGTGTTCACATGTCCCGATTGGCAGTTTTAAGGCTGTTCTTAAAAGTGATATTGCCTGTGTCAATAAATTCCTGTAAATAGACATGGCATTAATCCTACAGGATCACACATATGCAGTCGGCGACACCGCAGTGGGAAAGTTTGGCTGTTATTAGATCGAGATCAACCTTTGTGGGCTAATAGTTGCAGTTGAGACTTGGTATCATTGGCTACCATCAAGTTGATGGTACTTTTGTTCGGAATATTTTTCAATCCAATCTTGGTTGTGTCTTTTCCGATCATAAAATCCAGCGGCAATACAGTAAATTCATTTGATACGACAACAAAATACTACACTACACTCTTATCTTTCTTTCACTCCAGTGCTACGTCATCAAACTATGTATTTTAGCAAGATCCACCTGACTTGAATATGGAACAAAATGCCTTTTTGTTTGGTCACTATTTGGAGTTAGTTTGCTATCATTATCGCGAACAGGTTAATCTTACAAGGAGGCGTGAGAGACGCTTCTTGGTACCAAACTACAATTTGTGGAGCCGATTCATTCGAATAAGACTGTTACGTGTCGCATTTAAAGCTTGCCGTTTGGGGGCATAGCCGACTCTACTTGCAGATGATGTCGATAAAAACGCTGGGAAGATGTCTGAGAATGTATAAACCAGCATTTTCTTGCAGACTTTATTCTCGTGTGCAACTGTCTGTCGAAGAGATCTGTTGGTCGGTCTAAACAAAAAGACTACGGCGGAAACTTCATGATGTATCAAACAACTGTCGGGCTCCAGGACGCCTTCGATGTCTTGTGTTGTGATACACTTTCGCACAACATGAAAGTCACTCAAGGCAGTCTCTAGGACGATGCCTGGTAGACAGTGTGATGCGATGTTGGATGATAAGTCATAAAGTTAGAAATCGCCCCACAATAGGGAGTTCAATCTACCATACTCGATCGTGTTGTCAGGACAATCTCAATGAACACACCTTATCAGTAGACACAAACTACTCCTGTAGTTATGATAGTTTTATTCGTCGATCCGTGGACTTGGAACATTCTCAGACTCATCTCTATGACGAGGTGTAGTTGGGTGTTGAGACTCGCGAGACTCACTGATGATGCCGGCGAAGGTTTTGGGAACGTACCAAATCCACAGTGCGACGCAGAAAATTGTGATAATCACTATGACAAAGGCGTCCGGACAAGGTGTGTTCATTGAAGTTGCCCTGACAACACGATTAAGTTGCGAAAACAAGGTCGAACAATATGAATGCATCAACAACAACATCTTGATTTTCACTTCCACTTCTTTAAATTAGCCCATTTTGGAGACAGATTTAGTGTGCGAACCCGAAAACGATCCAGTTCTGAACTGGCCTCCACATGTTCCACTCGCCTATTTCTGTATGTCGCCACGCCCATGACGCCCTGAAGGCTGCACCAACCGATCGACAATCAGATGGTCTTCTCTGCACAGTTGACCCACAACTTCACCTTTCCCTCACATTCACGCCACTAGACCCACAAGGTGTCGTCTTCCCCTCCTCTTTTTTTTATCCCCCACTTCCACCCAAACTGACCCGGTCGACATGACATATCGTCCTGTCGAATAAAGCGCCGCTCCACACAGCCGTCATCGCCAACTGCCCACCAAATGCATGTAAGCCTTAATGGACAACCAGGTCTCTAGGCTTGTGTATTCACGTTTGTGCTGTTTGCCTGTTTGTGTGTTTGTGAATTCAACATACCTCCTTCTGTCAGTAGTGCCATAGACCAGACGGAAGAGGCAGCTTCAACCGGTCAAAGGACTTTAAATTGAATGAAAAAGCGTATGATCAGCATCATGCCTGCATTAGTTTGATTGTGTGTATGTATGTATGTATGCATGTTTGTGTGTGTGTGTGTGTGAAAAGGAGCAACATTGCGAAAAACTGGGCCCCAGGAGAGGAGATGCATATGCTATTGCTAATACTGGCGTCGAATTAGATGTGAGTGTGTGTGTGTGTTTATGTGTATGTGTATGTGTATGTGTGTGTGGTTGGACGCGAAGTATTCCAAGCAGAATAAGTTGCGGCAATTGTAGCCGGACATAAGACATCGAGTGGGATAGTTTCGGCTGTGTACACTTCCACGGCCTGTCCCAAAAGGGCAGTATGACCCCGGCAGTTGGTTGTCACACCCGCACCAGCGCCAGCACCAGCACCGGCACCAACCGAACTGATCTTTGCAATTCGTCCTGACAAGGTGGGTGTCCCCGGGCCCGAGCCGATACGCATTTATCATACATCCTGACACCACCTGCCGTCGAGGCAATGCCTCAAGAGCTGCCGCCCTCGAGCACACACATACACACATAACCTCGTCGTCATGGCGGTAATCAGTTCCCCCTTGCGTTGGCTGGAGAGTTTTCACCGGCCAACTGTCTACAGGACCCCAACGCCACAAAACAGAAGGCCTCAGGCCGTTTCGACTCAGGCGCCTTTGGCGAGGAGATGAGACGCCAGGGCAACCAGCCCATTTGGGGAAGAGATGACACCGAGCCTGACAACATACCAACAGGAAACAACTGGCACAGCCTAAGGACAAACTTGGCGATTCCTGCTTCTCGTTACGCACACACATGCGCACATCTGGTTGTTTGTTTTCTGTCTTGTCTGCATGCAAAGGCTTGTCATCGTTTGATATCTCAAAAGAGAGAGTGAATCTTGATAAGTATGCATACTTGATAGAAAGAAAATGATGTTGTGTATGTGGGCAAAAGAGGGAGTGGAGGGAGAGAACGAGGCTTGTTACCGATCCATTTGTGACAAAGTTAGCTCTATCAAGTCGGCTTCCTACGCTCTGTATGATTGACGGATGGTCTGAATTAATTATAGAGCCGTAAATTCACCATACCACTCTTAAATATACACAAAGGCATACAGACAAAATAGTCACAGAAAACGACAATTCAGTGAAACATGGGAAACAGACCGAGAGAGAATGAGGCAAGTAAGTAGAGGAAGGTGGGCGAAAAGAGGCGACTTCCGGTGGCGCAATTGTATGCTTCACGTAGGGCTTGCACCGCATGAGGGCAATTCCGACTTGTAGTTGCGCGGCCGGATGTACAAGAAGACATCTTCTGTAACAGTTGTACCCATCCGAGGGATAGATTCAAAGTTTTTGAGTATCTACACCCACACAAAAACACACACACATACATACATATGTATAGGTATTCGCTGGCGGCAGGGATGGGAGTGAATCGGAAGAAAACGTTGTTGCTAAGCCTCATTAGAGTGATTTGGCATTTTAAGAAATTAGCTGGACCAGACGACCAGTGAAGCCCGGTTACTGGTGCAGTTGCAAGCGTACACACAACGCATAATCATACGCACTCACACG